CAGCTGACCCCAATCTCCCCTAATCTGTAGCCTTGTCAATATGAAGAATACAAATGCCCTCGATTTATTATTTAGGCATTCCCTCTTAAAATGGGTCAAATAATGAGCTAAATAACCGAACATGGGGGCCTTATTTGGGTTAAAGAAGTTGCTGTGTCCGTGATCGACATCAAGGTCAGACACCTGGCACCTGATCAAAACTTTACACAGTGACAACAAGATATTTAACTGTTAACTGTATAAAACCTCTCGCTTAATTCAGGAGTAACGTGTGCAGTCTCAGCCTTAGGATGTGTAAACATTTCTGGGAATAACCATACTTTGAATATTATAGCGTATAAAGTAATAGTCTATGTTGCTATTTCTGTCTGGGCTGGCAGATACGTGTTGTTTTCAGGTGGAAAAATGGCGAGATGCTGTCGACCTTGATAGAGTTAAAACATAATTTCGATTGAGAAAATAAAAGTCCCGCATAAGCATGGCGCATGAATAAATATGATATTCATTATTTGATAAAAAATAATCGAAGCCTGAAATATAAAGTTTGGCGCAGTTATAGGGAAGTGAGCCCTGCAGTGGATTATGCTCTGTCATATCAGGCCCTTGAGAGCCTGCTATTATCCTTATTATTGCCGCGTTATCAAGCTCGCGCTCCTCGCCTCAAACCATATTCAGGGAACGGCTCTTTGACATACTGTATCCCTGTTAACATGTGCTGCTCCGGGCATGTGAGGTCAGCGGAGGCTCCATAGACTCACCACTCCAGAGATGACGTGTTTGGCGGGTTTGGACGACAGATTGGCCACAGGCAAGAGCTGAGTCCTCAGGGTGCTCCTCAGCAGGCGGACGGCGGCGGGTAGAGACATAGCGAGGCTCCGGAGCACAGGCACAACTAGCAGGTATGAGACTCTGCGTTACTTTTGGTTCTATGAGCGCCAGGCGCAGTGTGTGTAGGAGTGTGTGTGTGTGAGGGAGGGAGGGAGGGGGGAGACGGTACGTTGTCCGCCTTCAGACAGCGTCGGAATTTAATTGGCCATCACACCTCGGTATCTGACACCGTGACCGAGGCGCGGGACGTGTCCTCATATGCCCCGGCTACTCTTCCACCAGCAGGGTTGTAACCAGCAGGGTTGTAAACACGGTGCAGCTGCAAGGCAGAGTCGCAGTGTGTGGCGCTACAGACATAATGCGGAAACTTATAGCCTACAGTCTATTTGTGTACATTCAAACTTAGGTTTGAATATAGTCTATTGTTTAAAGATAGTTCCGTGCTGTTAGTGTCACACATACAGCGCTCGTTCAAGGCGAAGAAGTATATAGTAGGCTATGTTATAGGCTACATATTTGATAGGAGTGAGTATATTGTGTGCTTCGTTTGTTTTTCACATTTGTACATTTTAACATGACGAAATATAATTTGTGCTGCACAAATCATACACATGTACATTTAAGAGATTACCAGGACAGACACAAGACTGAAAACACGGAAGTAAAGATGATAGTAACATTTTAAAGCCACACAATTAATAGTGTAGGTCTGTAACAACTTTTTGAATTAAATCCAATGGAAAAATCGTTTTAAGCTATTTATTTAGTAATATGTGTTTATTACGCAGTGCTTGTAGAGATAGTACCACACTAGTGGTTGTAACTTTGGTATAAGGGGAAGTACTGGTTGTGCCAGTCTCACTTGTACCATGGTTGGCAGGACAATTGTAACCTTCCTCTGAGGTAATAATAACCATAATCTACCCTGTACTTTTGGGTCTGACATGTTAATTTAGTAACTTTTTGGGCACACCAGGCAGAATATAACTTCAATGTATAAGTCCCATTATCCAGTCTCTTACTGGAGTTGCAGGTGAGCACACTCTAGAGAGTCTATAGGCGACACTCTTATTAAGCTAGATATTTAATAAATATAATACATCAAGGTTCAGTTTATAATAAATGGTTACAAAGACATTTTTAAAGCCTTTCTTAGTATACAAAAACTGCACCATATTAGACCCTAATATGTATTACTGCATTCAAACTAACTGTGGACTGATTGGACTTGAGGTATCCTTGCTTTAGGAGAATGCATGAAGGGATCATTTGAGTTGGCTCTTACTCTAATGTTTTTTAAGGGTGTTATCATCTGAAGAGACGCAGAAAGAGCTGCGAGACATTTGTAGACTAAAAGTTTCTCCAAAAATTGATAGCATTGATACAGTGCTTTTCTGGTATTAACATCCACTCCACAAATTGCTTTACCAGACAAACCAGCATTCACCCACATACACATTCATGCAGAGAATGCCATACAAGGAGCTCATTGGGAGCAGTACGCATTCCATTTGTGTTCAGAATCTTTCCCAAAGCAAGGCAAGGCAAGTTTATTTATACAGAACATTTAACACAATGCAAACAAACAAAAAATGACATTTAAATGTATTTTAAAACCCAAAAGAAAAGATAATACAAAAACAAGCTAAATAGAAGAATACGAAAAGTATGAATGTTACAGTGCACAAATAGTTTGATTTGATAGCTAGCCCACAATTCCACGAGAGCCTGCCTGCAGGCCATTCACAGAGACAATGAGGACCCTTTGACAGGCAAGGGATCGGACCTGCAACATTTAACTGCTTTAATTCCTGAGCTACAATAGGTGATTTCACAGAAATGTCTATACATTCTTACAAAGACTTCCTGCAGTATTTCTTCTGTTTCATCGTTTGTGAAAGTGGAAGTTAAGCACCTTTTCTGGAAGTTTAAAATAATGTTTTCTTGAACACAGCATAAACTACTACGTTCACGATGTATTTGTCATCAATAATATGCTTTATAAATCGATTAAACTTAGTTCTCAACAGCATTCTGAATGCAGCTTGTTAGCGTGTGAATGGCCTGTTTGAATTGAGTTTTCTTGTGTTTTTACTGCATGTTCTAGGCAGCTCTCTCTTGAAAAATATATTTTAAAGGTCTCCTATTATACTATTTTCAGGCATATATTACATGTCTCAGATATATAAAAAACGTGTCTATGAAGTGTTTTGCTCAAATACCAAACAGATCACCCATTCTAGCCATGCCTCATATTATTTCAGCCCAAGTGATGGGGAGCTTATGCTTGCTCATCTTGAGATTTCTACCAGCAGTTACTCAGCTAAATGCTGCCATGATGCTGTGGTTTACCACAAGGTGAGGAGCTTTTTATATCCTGCTTTTTTACACATGCTCTCTCCAGTACAGTGTTAGCTCTGAGTGTTAGCGATGCTTGCTAATGTAAACACAGACCATATTACGTCCAAAACACGTTGTGCATTGTTTCTGATAGCGACGTTTATGACGAAATATTGGAAATGTGGGCATAAAGCCAGCCCACATTTCTGATGTTACGTCATATCGGCAGCAAATCTGGATCAGCTCCATTGTTCCCCCGTTTTTAGAGATTTGGGTACGGAGGAAAAGAGAGAGAGTTTTCTTTTCTGACACTTTGTGAGTCTCCTGACACACTGGGGACACATATTTATGTATAAAAGACATAAAAAAGTGCAATTTGCATGATAGGAGACCTTTAATATAAATGAGACCATACATGACTGAGTAACACAAACAAACAAAACAAAAAAAGACCGGGCAGGAAGGTAACTTAATGGATCTGAAACAGGCCCTATGGGAAATTAAGTAGTCGAAAGACATCTATGTGATTAATTCTGTGGATGTTTTCCAATACCAATACTACGATACATAATGTGTTTTGATAACTCATTATTACAGGTACTGTTGCTGGTAGTTTGGTAAGATGGAGTCAATTGTTATTAAAGGTTTGTTGCAGAGATGGCCCAGCTAGCGGGGAACGTTCTCACAACTTTGGCTAACGTTACCTATTGGTTCTAATAAGGTTTTAAAGAAAGTTTTAATCTGATGTTCAAAGAACCTTTTTAGGATGTTTATTTTTTCAAATAAAGTTCCCATAAGGTTTAAGGTTAACTAAGACATAACGTTTTAACTGCAACATTCAGAGGATGTTTTCAGGATGTTATTGAGGCCTGAGATGACAGAAAGTTTTTTTATTAAACGTTTCTTTAATGTGATATGTTAACAAAGGTGGAACGTTTTGCCTCCAACATTCTAAGGATGTGTTTTGGACGTTGTTGGGTAACACATTAAAGATGTTCTTTATAAAACGGTCCCTCAATGTTACATGATAACCAAAGAAGAACATTTTGAAAGCAACATTTGGATAATGTTTTCAGGAGGTTATTCTTTTTTATAAAATGTTCCTGTGATGTGAAATATTAACACGGTCATGGTCAACGTCAGATGTATTTGTAGTGCGCTTTAAAAAACAAACTTGTTGCATTTGTTTGAAAAGGATGTTTAAAACAAATCGGATGTCACCACATTTTCCTTTAAAAAATAAATACAAGCACGTAATTCATGATATTGCATGTTTGCGTAGGCATGTCTGAGTTCCCAGCTAGACATCGTTGGTTCTAAAAACATTCTGAGAACGTTACCATTCATTGTTCTAGGAATGGTTTCATCGAGAAGTTTTATTTTGGTTCCTAGAATGTACTTCTGAAAGGTAGGATAACGTTCTCTAAAAACATTCTTAAAATGTTTGTTGATAACATTGTTCGAACATTATACCCCAAGTGTTTTTGTTGTTTATGCACATATCTCTATGGTCATATGGATCGAATAACACTTAGAAAACCAAAGACAGACATATAGTGTTATGATGTGTGAAGCAGGTAGGACCCAAATGCAGATTAACGTGAAAATTCCTTTATTTCAAGGCTATACTAACAAAGACAGAACACAACACTCACCGAGGACAAGCCAAATCACAAGACGAACCAACACTGAACACAGGAAGAGAACAGACTAAATACAGGGAGGGGTAATCACAAGACGAGAAACAGCCAGGCAGGGGAGGAGAAACACAAGGACAACAGGTGAACACAATCAGACAACTAGACACACCAGGGAAACTAACGACAGGAGGAAAAACACAGGGAAAAGGACCAGACAATATACACGGAGGAAAACACGACAGGGAGAACAGCAAAACACCCAAAACAAGACATACAAAACATTACATAACACAATAATCGTAACATATAGAAGAACGGACCGACTATCACTGCCCGTCCCTGAAACCCCTGTTAGTGTTTGTATGTGTTTGTTTCTACTGTGTGTCTCTCTCTCCCCCCCACCTGCCTGCTGGTCTGCTCTACACGGCTGGGAGCTATCTCCAATCAACCCCACCTGCAACCTGCTCATCAGCCACACTATGAAAGCCTGCAGCCTGCACTCATTCCCTGCCGGATTGTTGCCGTGAACGGTTTGTTGCGTGCCGCTCTAGCTTTTTGCCAGCAGATCTATTGACAACTTTGCCTGCTTTTGCCTCACACTAATTTTTGTGTCTCTCCCAGGAGGAATCCAAGACCTGCCACACAATCAAGACCAGCCAGGCCTCTCCACCCTGGAACAACTGTTTCCCACTGCTGCCATAACCAACCTCCACTCCCAGCTCCCCTTTTCTAATAAACAAATGTTATGCTCACCAGCTGATTCCGAGTCATCCTTTTACATGTGTTAATAGTCAAATTCCAATAGTTAAGTAAACTATTATAATCATCCTAATGACCACAGTGGTCAGTCCACTTACCCAGGAATTTTGAGTTGAACAATTACAGGAATATTATGTCTTTATGTTCTAATAATGTAAACATATTTTAGTAAATTGTTACCACAGAACATTTGCATAATGTTTTAAACATAAAGCATGTTATCCTTCTCTAAAATAATAACATTCTGGCAACATAAACACATCTAACTTGCAGATGAAAACATTTTAAGAACAGTAGGGCATAATGTTCTAACAATGTTATCAAAAACATTTAAAGAATGTTTTTAGAGAACGTTATCCTACCTTTCAGAAGAACATTCTGGAAACCAAAATAAAACCTTTTGCTGAAAACGTTTTAAGAATAGTAGGGCATAATGTTCTAACAATGTTATCAAAAACATTTTAGGAAGGTTATCACCAAACATTTTAAGAATGTTTTTAGAGAACGTTATCCTACCTTTCAGAAGAACATTCTGGGAACCAAACAAAAACTTCCCGCTGAAAACGTTTTAAGAATAGGAGGGCATAATGTTATAACAATGTTATCACCAAACATTTTAAGAATGTTTTTAGAGAACGTTCTGGGAACCAAAAGAAAACTTCCCGCTGAAAACATTCCTAGAACAATGAATGTAACATTCTCAGAATGTTTTTAGAACCAAACAATTCTAGCTGGGGGAGTACTCGAGTCGGATTCGCGCACTGATTGACGCAGACTCGACTCAGACTCCTGAATTTTTTGCCAACGATGACTCGGACTCGTGAATTTTTCACCTACGATGACTCAGACTCGACTTGTACATTGACGCTCCGACTTGGACTCGGATTCGAGCAAGTTTTGTCTCGAGTCAGATGTCCTCTGTCCTGGCGTGTGCACCTGCGAGGTGAGTTCACGTACTGGTCGCGCCCCCGCTGTTCCAGTCTAGAGAGTCCAGAGACACACCCTGCATCGTGCTGATTTCACACATTCTGCACAAAAGATTGAAGAGAAGGCTCCATAACACATTACTCTAAGGATGGAGTTCATATTTGGCTGTCTTGAAAACTATCATCAGTTATGTGATCAAATCAATAAATAAAGATTCAACCATAACACGAAAGCACATGGCTACTTAACATGCAGAATGTCGTCATTTTGCATGCTAAGTAGCCATGTGCTTTCTGGGGCTTAATCTTTATTAATATAATTTAAACATTCACTATAATAATTGTAGCGTCCCGGCCAGTAGCGTAGGCAGACATTTACTTGAGGGCAGGCCTGTATAAAATGGGGTGGGCCAGCTTTTTCCAGGGGGAAAAATGACTTTAAGGTAGGCCTGGCCCAGCGCCATATAGATGGCGCTGGCCTGGCCTATACATGAGAGTAACAAATGCGTCACTTCTGGGCAAAAAGTATGGCTCCGCCCACTTTTTGGGGAAAACAACGCTGTCATTGGAATGGCGGTCAATACAAATTCTGAAGTTTTTGCCAATCCGATCAGAAATTTAAGAAAACCGTGGATTTTTGGATATTCAAAGAGCCCGATTACAATGGCCAGTGGAGGGTTGCGGTCCAATAGTCCATTTAGCTTAGGAACCTTCCTAAGTGAAATTACCCGGAAGTCCCTCAGTGGCAGCCATGATAAGTGCTGTTCTAATTCTCTAGATGATAGGAAAGGAGGTTTCAAACTTCCTTTATAACCTCCTTTAGCTTAGGAACCACGGGACCTCCCTTTACGAAAGGAGAGGAGAAAATGCTGCCCCACAAGGCCTTATGGCCGCAGCATTTGCCGTCACACAACAGTCGGCCGTCACACAACAGTCGGCTGTTCACGGAAACAACCGATTATGACCGACAAATAATATCATGAAAGTTACGGTGTTTTTACTGAAATTATCAAATAAAGTCAACATTTCACAGTCTTTACTGAGCTGTGTGGGGTTTGTTCAACTTTTAAAAGATGTTTGAATGGTGATATACACAGTGATAGCCTAGATGTTAAGGACTAACGTTTATAATAAATACAGTATTTAAGATCTTTTCATACAATCATACGTATTGGGATCATTTGTATTAATGTGGACCGGAGGAAGAGGGTGACGAGCATAAGTTTCACTTTCCTTTTTATTTCATTTCCAACTTTGGTCATGAAGAATATGTTTCTCTGTTGTCCACGTTCATAAAGCATAAAACAACAGCATCAGAGCACGGTGCAGAGTCTCTAGATGAGTTTACAGTAGTCCCTCGTTCTTATTATACATCCATGTTGTAGTCCGCTGTATAGAAAACTGTAGTTTCCATAGTTTCCCCACAGCAGCAGCAGACACGGACTATCTGCCGTCATGATTTCCGAACCTTTTCTGTGCTTTTGCCGGTCGTTTTCCCTGTTTTGGGTGTGTTTCGCAGGTTGCAATTGGGTCTTCTTCGCCGACCTCTGGTCTCAGACCCTAATATTAATATTAGTAATAAGCTTTATATTTGTATAGCACCTTTTATACAAGAATTGTAGCCAAACTCGCTTCACAGCAGTTCAATAGACAAATTAGTATAACATCATGACAGGATAAAAGCAATGTAGAGGAGCTACAGCTACATTTCAACAAATATATCCACTAAGATTAATACATGAAGACTTGTGACTCGGATTTGACTTGGACTCTTCTTGGGTGACTCGGACTTGGACTCGGACTCGAGATTGACTTGGATTCGTGAATTGGTGACTTGACTACAATACTGGTTTGTTGTTGTTATTATTATCATTATTATTATTATTATTATTATTATCATTATTATTACTTTCTGTTGTATTAGTCGGTGCATAGATGACGTAGCAACAGACATATTGAACATACCGGCGGTAAATTCACCTAGCCTACAACATAAAGTGCAAACCAACAGTGGCTACAACATTTTTGCAAACCTGCAGCAAGAGTGGGCATTTTAATGGTATCTTGTTTTAACCTGGTGCGACCTGCAGGGGGCAGTAACGGCCGCTAACGAGAGTACGCTGCCAGAAATAAAAGTGTAGAAGAAGAGCGCAGACTCCTGCCTACAGGAAGTGTTGAGTAGGTGCTGGTAGTAGCTTTCTTTCTCTGTGCTTGTTTATTTCATTGAATCTGACAGAACATATCCCTGGTAAGTCTCTGAATTTACATTAAATGTAGTTAGCATGTTAGCGGTTGATTTAGCTTATCCAGATAAACCACCAGAATGAAAATGGCTTGTTAGCATTAGCTAGGCTGCAGTGTTGGTGTTAACTGGGTTCTGTGCTAAGTGGGATGTACTTTTCATTATTTCACTTTAAAACACACCATGTTAGCTATCCATGGTGTTTTAAATATATTTCACTCACCGTAAACTTAGCAGTCTGAACTGTTTACGTGTTGCTAACTTGCTACTGTCCCAGTGTTAGCATCAGTCTGATAGGTGCTAAACTTTGATGCTACCTATTTGAACGGAAGTTAATGCTACACAATTTGACTTGGACAAGTGTTTTGTGTTAGTTGTTCATGTGTACTTCCGTGTCTTATTAACGCAGCAGACCGGACGCAATAACGCTATGTGTATGGCTGTGTATTCTGGTCAGGGTAATATTAGAGGCAATATTCAGATAAGCAGGTCACTTCTGCGATTGTTGAATGGGGTTTGGTCCTTTTTTTCCTTTCATATAATTGTATCTTCAGTGTGTACTCGCGGCAGACAGTGTTTGTACAGTAGACCGCGTACTTTGTGTGTGTCACTACTTTTCTCCACGTAGACACATGCAGCGACCTTTGACCGTTTCCTGTTTACATTTGGGGCAGGTGTTCCGGATTAACTGGTTTCCCGATCAACTGGGGGGATTTTCGATCGCTTCTTCTGTCGTTTACATAAATCTTTTGGTATATGTGGCTCGGTAGGAAGACTTTGATGCACATTCAGTACCAGTGTGTGAGGTTGCGATGGAGATATCCGGACGCTAACAGCGGGGACTACAAAAAGAAAAACGAGTTGACTGGGGATGTCTGTTCAAAACATTGCGAGCTCCAATAAATCATTTAAACCAGCTATTGTTGTCAGACTTATTACTGAATATCATTCTTAATGTGATACCAAGTCCACCTGAGACCTGTGTACACCTCCAGACAGCCTCCCAGTGAAGCACACGTTGTTTACTCACAGTTTGAAAGCAGCGTGGAGAAGTCTTCAGCTGTAGAGAGCTCCGCCCAGCTGTGATACTACTTCTGTGGCTTGTTCTTGTTGTCAGTCTTATATTTGTATCATGTATCGTTATTAATATGATGTCGAGTTGATTTGAGACCCGTTTATACTTTCATACCGTCTGTTAGTGAAACATACAGTCTGTGTGAGTTGTTTACACCCATCCAACGCAGCGTGGAGCTGTGGTAAACAGTGATCCGCTCAGATTAAACTGTGATACGAGTTCTGTGGCTATCGACCAGCGATCATGTTTAATATGAAAGACTACACACATGTATCCCTTATCAAAACGGTATTCTCCACTTTGCCGCACTTATCCAGATCAGATGTGATGACTGATCTGTTTATGTCAAATTGTTAACTTGTGGCAAAGATGTCAGGCTTTTTGTACGGCCCTGACAGAAACTTGCATTGTTCTGACACTAGATGGCAGGCGTCCCTCACGTTTGGCTTGTACTGCTGCTCTCTGTACTGATTTCAATTGGTCTCATTGCAGCTTTTACAATGCATTTTTGCATCTCTTAATAAACGTATTTCAACCCTACAAGTGTGTTACTTAGACTGGTAATTCAGAGGAGTTTTGCAAAAGCTTTGTAGCCTCTGGTACAATACGTTTTTAACTAAATACTCAAGTGATGGGGAAAAAGCACAGGAACAAATGGTTAAGTAAAAAAGAACTACACATTTTTTTGGGGGAAAAAAGACAAAACACAAAGGCAGCCAATGTTTTGCTGAATCTATTGCTAATTGTTCTGGATGTAACTTGTTGCTATAACCCACACACAGTAAGAAAGGAAAAGTTGCATGGCACATGATAGAGGCTCACATTTCTCACAGCAATACAGTCAGAAAGGATTGAGAGATGTTGGTAATAACACCAGACAAACAGACTATTTGTTTACTTTTAAGTGAATGGTCAAATACATTTGACACAACAATTAAGGCTACTTGATGTGTATGATGACTTGTATCCCATAATCTAAAGCAAGTGTTCATAGCCCTCTGACATGTACTGACACGATGGCTGTGTGGAAGGCTAATCTCTGAATGATATCTCTAATGGCTGCTGTTGTCTTGTGTAGGTCCTGCTGGATGCTGCCTTCACCTCCCATTCCAGCTCAGCCTGTTGAGTGAGTGTGTGTGTGTGTGTGTGTGTGTAAATTGAGTCTTGATCCATGTGAGCGTGTTTCTGTAGGATAGTGTATGTGAGTGTGTGTGCCCACCATGTCCCCGTCTCCCTCGCTGTGTCTCCACCTTCCCCTCCTGCTGCTGCTTCTCCTCACCTCGTGTGCCTCTGCCCCGGAGACCCAGCCCAGCGCCACACCAGCTAACTGCACCACTGGATGTGAGTATTTGTTTTAATTCATTTAAGAATGGCCAATGCACATGAATGAATGAGCACTTGAGTCCATCGTGTAGATATGCCAGATTTAGCCATAACGGATTTTGTATCTGCAGTAGCTGGCAGGTTGATGGCATTAAAGAAAACATAAGCACATAAAAAACACTAAAGCACAATTCAGGCAAATATAAAAGACATATGCAACATTTAAATCAGATTGAAAGAGTTGAGCAGGAGTCAGGTTCCATACATAAAGGAGCTGTGACCACGTGATACAGCAGGAAATGCCTTTGCAAATGTGTATATGTCATTTGGTATATATGTCCGCTATGCAGCTGTTCATTCATCCAAAATCAAAGCTGGTAAATGTTTTAATGTTTTCAGTATATAAACTGCATTTAAATGTGACCAAAGCAATACAAGTTCCACCATCTACACAGTGTAGATAAGTGAGGGATAATGTGCAGCAAGCCAGTCATTAATAAGAAAAGAACGAGCAAGGCTCCAACAAGAAGCTGAGAGATCTTGTTTTATAACTAATTATTACACTGCTAAGTTTAATACTGTATGCTGTTGGTCAATTTGAACTATTCTGAGGACTGCCCTTCTTTGCTAGCATACTAGTGTCTAGACAAGAACAAGAAAACAGTGCAAGAGAAAGTAATAAAAAAAACAGAGAGAGCTGGACAAAATATAGAAATCATCAGAAGAAAGCAGACGGGAAGCAAACACTGACAGGAACACGGTATGAGCTCTGGCAGTGTTTAAAGACTGGTTAGTGACAAAGGAAATGTGAACAGGCTTGGACGGTTAAAGTGCTGCCTACACCTTAAGTTATGTTTCCACAGCCATTGGATCGCAGTGGATCCAACTATCTCTTTCAAGCGGAAGCAACACTCATTTTAAAACAAATATTATGAGTCAAGTCTTTTTTAGTACGTTGCCGCTCGCCTTCTGGATTCTACTCCTCCTGCCGTTGTTCGTATTCTCATGTATGCCCGGCCTGCTGCACACTTGATGTTTGTTTCCTTTTTATTGAGCTTAATCACTCATGGACCTTTTTGTTCCCCAGGTGTTAATGGTGGTGGCAGTAAAAATGAAACCGATGTACAGGTGAATAAGCAGTCAGATGACAGACTGGAGGAGTTGTCCCTCGACCAATCTCTATCCATCAACCACACCTTAAACATCTCTGTAGTATCTCCAACTCCACTCAACCAATCTGCAGAAGGAAAGCAACCACAGCCAGCATTACCCACACAGGCTGCTCACACTGCGCCCATCACCAGCACTGCTGATACTACACCCGCAATTGCAAGGAATGTCAACAAAACCACTTTACCAGTGACTTCACATCACACCTCAACTACACCCACAGCACCTCCAAAAACAACTACACAAACAACACCCTTCATGACAACATCAACGACTACACCAACAACAACAACAACTCCACCACCAACAACAACAACACCACCACCCTTCTCCACAGCAGCAGCGTCAAACCCTGCAACAACAATAAAAACTACAACCACACTACCAAAAGCTAACACGACCCTTACGGTGACTACAACCAAAGGTACGCAACAGACGAAAGCCCCAAGCTCTGCAGCGCCACCACCAGTTCAGACGTCTTTACCTAAAGAGACCCCCACCGTAACCATCAGCAGCACCACTACTGAAAATAACAAAGGGCCTGTTGCCTTTGGAACGGTGGTGGAGGTTGCTGTGTCGCCGTTGACCCTGCAGCTGGTGGACACGGCGTCTTTACTCTCCGTCTTGCTCTTTGGCCTGCTCTTCTTCTTGGTCTCGGTGGCCGTGTTCGTCACTCAGGCCTACGAGAGCTACCGGAGGAAGGACTACACCCAGGTGGACTACCTGATCAACGGCATGTACACAGACTCTGGGGTGTGAGGGGGAGGCACAGCGCGTCGTATTGCCTGGAGACTGTAACATGGAGGATGGACAGCATGGTGCCGCTGTTGATTCCCAAAGTGAGTCAGTGTTCCTGTTAGACAGTTCACAGGAGAAGAGGGAAAGGACTACACCAACAGCCCTGATCTGCTCCACTTAACTCTTCGTTCTTCCCTGCTTCCCTTTCTTTAATGGCTTCAACGCTAGGGCTTTGGTCCCAGTGTGCCCAATGTGGAGCACGTTGTTTAGGTTACCTGTACGTAACCCTGGTTCTATGCGTAGGTGCGAAGCCCTCTATTGGTTCACGGCAAATCTCCTCCACTGCTGGTCAGTCAGTCCAGCTGTGGTTGGTCAGCGTGGCTCGACCAATCAGGATGCTTCCAAGGTAAAAAAAAAAAAAAAACATTTTTTCCTTTACTGAAATATATGTGTAGGCCTTATTGGCAAATTGTTTCAGGTTTTGTATCTTTTCCAGATGAATGTATTTCAACTCTTAATTTATAGCATTATGAATTTCTTTCCACATTCAAATCGATGTTTCTATTTGGAATATAAGGTCACAACGATATGAAGGACCGAAGCAGATTTGTGAATATAATATACGAAATGGGACTTTATTTCACTTAAAAGGGACTCAAAATGTTAAGTAAAAACTCTTTAAAAATGCTTTGTCAACCGTAAACAATAACTTACAAGACGTCTTAAGAATAATACACCAAGAGGGCTAAGCAATAATTCAGTATAATAATCAATATCCTTCGTATCAAATCTGATCATATGTCTGGGCAAATTGTGAATATTTTAGAAAACTTAACTGAAGAGTTTGACTAACATTGGTCGCTTACATTAGAATAATTGTTTCTGATGTAATACATTCAGCCTGTCTGTCTGAATGCTGTTACTTGTAGTTATTTTTTTATATGTAACTGATAGAAAAGATGTCCAAAAGTTGAACTACATGTGTGTCAGTTGAATTATCTTTTGAATGTAACCCTAATTAACATAGAGTGCAATGGAAAAGATCTGAGTGACCGGGAAACCGTTGGTGCACATGAAATCTGTCTGACAGTGATGGTGTGTGTAGCATTTCTCTATTGCGGCTTTCAGTTTGTTAAACCTACTTTTGACCTTGGTACTTAGACTGAGTAGGGCTGCACGCTTTGGAAAACAAAAATAAATTGCGATTATTTTGATTTGCGATTTTATAGGGAAAGAACATTTACGAAACATTTTTTATTTTATCATTGAATGACATTAAAATGATCAACAGGTCATTTTTTTTCAACAATGATTATGAATGAATTGTGTGGAATAACGACCTCTGCAGCACCACAATACTTCATTCAGATATGTTTACATATTTTTTCTTTACAAAATATTGCTTCTACTGCGATTTAGATATTGCACTGGTCCATATTGCGATTTCTAAAAAGGTATTTCTAAAATGTTCAGCCCTCATCAGGACATAGCACTCAGTTCTTTTTCAATTCTACCTAAAAATATAAGAAATAGAGCAGACTTTGATTCCGATTAAATGTTGGATGAATTGTGTAGCCCTAGTTCTGAGAAATAATGATACGTCAACATCTTAAACTGTTCAACATCTGTTTAGACGAATGACAGATGTTGTGCCTAGCTTAGCTCAACTCCTGCTAGCCTTTCACATTCTTTGTTACTGCAGCCAGCCATTACTGTCACCATTTTATAATGTGGACATCGCACTACTGCAAACGACGAGGGTTACTATGCCAACATGTTTTACTTTTTTTTTATATCAAATATTTCACAAATGATTGCATTTGATTTCAGAGTCGTATGATTTCACCGTCGTTCCATTAGCTTTCATTGATGACATTTCAGCTGCTTAGTTTCTTGTTTTCGAACGTGTCCTGCAATGAATCATGGGAACGGCCCCATACTAGCTTATTTCAATACATTTCATATTTTGCTCACAATTCATGTATTTTCAAAGGCTCAGCTATTTTTTATCTTTATTTTGAGTTGTCTGTATTAATCCATCATCCGTCTTTATTAATGACCAATGTATGGGTATTATTTTGACCATTGTTCCTAAACCGAGTATTCATCTGGCTACAGATATAGCTCTGTATATTTTCCTAACGACTGGGTTTAAGTTGCCATTATCTTTCCCATAATGAGTGAGAAACTGAATTATGGAAGTTATAAATGTAAAAGCAGGCGTGTTAAAGTTTGCATTCCAGTTGAAAAGTGATGAACACACACTCAGCAGTAGCTGTTAGAGTTATGAACAATATGTAATATTAGGAATGATGGACAGATGTTCTAAGTTGCTCTCAATAGATCTCCAGAGAACAAACGGAAATGGATTTCTTGTTGCCTTTTCTCTTCCCTCGACCACTTTGTATTAGCGTTCTCCTCCTGAGGGTTCATGGTTGATGGACTGTTGCCAAATATTCACTGAAGCACATTATTGTAAGATAAAGCCAAGGAAACATAAAGCCATTACTAATGATATACGATCATCATGTGAAACAGAGTATTTGTGCAGTAATTACAGCAAAATGCATTTCCTTAATCTCTTTCTTTTATTATTATTATTTTCCACATCTTTAAAGTTTACGTCACCCCCTAATTTATGCCTAAAATATGTTTATCTCGGGAACAAGATTCTTATTCCAATTTTTCGGGAAATTAAATATGTTTTTATTATCCTGTTGCAGCCATAAAACTAGATCTCTGATTGATTTGACCAGTTATTATGAACAAATATAATCCTGAGGTTATTCAAATCTGATCAGAATAAGAGTTAATGAAATGAGCCGCTCTCATGCGTGGGTGCTGTGATTTTCTTTCATGATCTCTCACTAATGTTATTAAGATTAGCATGGGAAATGTTCTCTTGTCATTATTGATCAAATCTAAAACCAACCCACCTTCCACTCATTGGATAAAAACAGACATAACTGCTTGGTATTTAGAGATATTTAGCATAGTTCACTTAATTCTTTGTTCTTTGGGTTATGATTTCACATTCTGTAAGTGAAGTGAAGTCCAAATGTCAGACGATTAGAATGCGAACTGATGATGTACTGTGTCCATGACGTGAGGGAAGCGTTTTCATCATTTGAGGATTTTCTAACTTTGATTTACACTTCTGTTGCCAATAATTGTAACGTAGCTGTTGATGAGTTCAGGGTGGATCTGTGTTTGCAGGATGTCGAGAAATGACGTGTGTGCCAACTCAACATTGTACGAATGCACTTTAAAAATATATTTTTACTTGCAGAGTAAATAAATATTGAAAAAGAAATGTAACTTGTTTGTTTTTGAGTCGTCAATGGAGTCTAATCTTTACTTTTGATCGTGGCTGCGAGGTGTGGTGCGTTATGCTGTAATACCACCAGTCTGCAGGCAGAGTGCGGTCTCTGATCGGGCCCCTGTACGGAGGCCCCCCCCCATCTGCCCATCACACTCTCCACCTTGGCTTCTGCGCAACGTATTTGTAAAAAGTGAAATATTTTTATTGGGCCAGTTTTCCGAGCCATTCTTGTTAATGAAATAGAAAAATGCACTCTAATAAAAATTCCCATCGCGTGTTAAACACTGGTTTCTGTTAATGGTTGGCAGGAGAGATGTTGTTTCCAAACGTATCTCAGTGATTGTTCCAATACCTGTTAAACATTAGACATGCTGCTAATTCTTAAAGGGACATACCTGAATTTCTATCTTCCTATCTTTGAAGGCTGTGACCCCTCACTACACAACAAATCAACAATTGTTCACAGCATGACGGGATGTTTTATGTCGTGTTTTAAATTGGTTGTCCTATTTTCTTTTTTGTCCACATGTGCTATCTATGTTAAAAAAACTAACCTTTTATTTGTATATACAGTATAAATTAAACAAGACTACGGTGGCCCTGAAGTGCAAGACACCACAGCATTTCACAAAACGCCACAGCATTTCACAAAACGCCACAGCATTTCACAAAACACAACAGCATTTCACAAAACACAACAGCATTTCACAAAATGCCACAGCATTTCAGAAAACACCACAGCATTTCACAAAATGCCACAGCATTTCAGAAAACACCACAGCATTTCAGAAAACACCACAGCATTTCAGAAAACGCCACAGCATTTCACAAAATGCCACAGCATTTCAGAAAACACCACAGCATTTCAGAAAACACCACAGCATTTCAGAAAACACAACAGCATTTCACAAAACACCACAGCATTTCACATTGGACGGAAAGGGTATTCCTTTAGGGAGAACACTTCTTGTTTGTGATTGGACAGAGTCAGCCATAGGAGCACTGCTGTGATTGGTTGTTTTTGCTGCCAGTCAAGAAATGACGCTTCGTGATTGGCCCAACACATCAGCCGTTAGCTGTTAGCACTCACTCAGAGCTCACAGCTCCTCATATCTGTTCAGAAACTGGACAAAAGTTCAACATATACAAAACACAGACTGTCTATGTCATGGTGAATACAGTCGCTGCTTTATTTATGTCTGTATGACGTTGTTGTGAGTGTGGACGGAGCAGCTACAGGTTAGTTTAGCCTGATCGATCCGATTCCGATAGGATTTACATGGGAGATACCAACTACAACAAAATGAACATATTTGACCATGATTTCATTGTATTAAACGTTTCAAAGTGATGCCGAAGTAACTACATACTGATAACGGTTAGTAAAAACCATGAATTAACGCTTTGACAAGTCTGCAGATAAGACGGCAGGCGAAAAGCTTTTAAAATGCGTGGTTTCTGAATGGAATCGGATCCATCAGGCTAAACTAACCTGTAGCTGCTCCGTCCACACTCACAACAACGTCATACAGACATAAATAAAGCAGCGACTGTATTCGCCATGACACAGACAGTCTGTGGTTTGTACATGTTTCACTTTTGTCCAGTTTCTGAACAGATATGAGGAGCTGTGAGCTCTGAGTGTGTGCTAACGGCTGATGTGTTGGGACATATTTCGCTGTCGGGTGTTGACCAATCACGAAGCGTCATTTCTTGACTGGCAGCAAAAACAACCAATCACAGCAGTGCTTCTCTGGCTGGCTCTGTCCAATCACAAACAAGAAGTGTTCTCCCTAAAGGAATACCCTTTCCGTCCAATGTGAAATGCTGTGGTGTTTTGTGAAATGCTGTTGTGTTTTGTGAAATGCTGTGGTGTTTTGTGAAATGCTGTTGTGTTTTGTGAAATGCTGTGGTGTTTTGTGAAATGCTGTTGTGTTTTCTGAAATGCTGTTGTGTTTTCTGAAATGCTGTGGTGTTTTGTGAAATGCTGTTGTGTTTTGTGAAATGCTGTGGTGTTTTCTGAAATGCTGTAGTGTCTTGCACTTTAGGGCCACCGTACAAGACAAAGAAAAATGCCTAATTGTATATTTTAAATCACAAAGCAGTTTTTTTATGTTAAGGACTTTTTTTTAAATGATCTTAAAAAATACAACAACTTTAAGATAATGAATAAACGAATACATTGAAAGTAAAATTACTTATAAAGATAATAACACAAATTAAAACTAACATGTTTTTTTCTTAGCAAAAGTTGTCGATGGTACCTTGTAGTCTATTTTCCTGGTACTACCTCAGTCAAGATTCAGAGCCACACAAAATAAAAACTGGGTATAAATCATCACCAGGGCGACATCCTGCACAAACCAGGCCGGCCCAGCTAGATTCAACAGCTACTGCCATCTCGCTCAGTGGAGGAAGTGCACCATTCCTTCAGCTTTGCAAATGTTTATAAGGGGAATTTACTGAACTGATGAAAAATGAACTGGACATTTTGTTAGACCTCAAGAATGCACACAATGTTTTTGACTGAAAAATTCTGAATGTAATCACAACTCGGGTCTGTTTACAGGAGAACTCTACATGGCCCCTGACCAAAAGAATAATGTAACTTCGACAAAATCACATTTTTGAGAGCAAACACGTGTCGTTTAAAAATAAAAAAACCTTAAGGCATCCTCCTGTGGTTAAATGATTCACTGCTGCAGTGACGTACATGTGTAGTGACACACGTATTCCTGACCACATCATCTTAATCTGCAGAGTACAGCTGTCAAACACACATCAGGTCAAGTCCTTCCCGTTGCCCTCGAGGGCAATCACTTTGATGACATCACCACCTGCTCCAAACATCCCGATCTTGTGCAACTCTCATGCACTCTACCACCGTTATCCCCCCCACCTCCTCATGTCTGTCAGCCATCCTCCCCCTGGCCTTCCTGCACAACTTCTTCCTCAACTGCGGTGAGCATGATGTTATTTGCTGGCGACCCGACTGTTCTTGTGTCCGAAGAACCACTGTTACTTTTGCCGTCCAGACCTTTAACCCTGCCACTGACCGGATCGCCTGTTTCACAGAGTTGTTAGTACTGTGCATTTCCCATGTCACCCCAGGGATCCTCCTGCATTTCAAAGGCAACTACTCTCTTTTTGATATGTGTTGTTTGTCCAGGTTTTGCATTCGTTGTGTGCAATGGATGTGATCAATGAGTGCATCAGGTTTTATTTGTATGAAAGGGGAATTATTCTTGGTACTCCATATCTTATCTAGTATCGCAAGCTGAGCTGTTGCAACGGCCAATCTGCTCCTCAGTTCCAAGTCCAAGTGCACTGCTTGTTCAACAAAGACCTGAGGTAAACAAATGGTCTACTGTTTCCAGCACTTTCCCATCAGTCTACACTCCATGCTGTTCCTCATCATTCACCTGAGATGTTAGCATCAATTTACTTGTGTCCATGCCATATCCTAATGAAGCTCAGTGCAAGTTCAACCAGGAAGACCTTCTTTACTCATTCATTTACTATTTCTATGTTACTACTCTCTCCTCTCAATAAGTGATCGGGGGCGTCACTCCCCAGCTAACCAATCACTTCGCTCTATTCTCACAAGCCTACCATTGCGCTCTGCTAAACCTTTTGGTAACACTTTATATTAAGCTACTCAAATTAACCATCAACTAGTTGTTAATTACCATGCATATTAGCAGTATATTGGCTCTTTATTAGTCATTATAAAACACATATTAATGCCTTATTCTGCATGACCATATTCTACAAGTAATAAGCCATTAGTTGAGAGTTTTTCCTCAATAACCCTCTAATTAGTGCTTATTTATAGCAAGTAAGGAAGTTGTTGTACATGAGTTTTGGTCTTAATATGCGCTGCTCAATATGGGTCTAATAAGGCAGTAGTACCACAAGAATAGTAATTCTCCCATAATAACACTTTACAGTGTAAGCGTAAGGCTTAAACTACAAGGTACTTATATGTTCTAGTTTGGATCCCTAAAGCTTTTTGTCTACCATCCCATCATTCAAGGCTGGTTTTCACTATAAGTAATGTTTGTTTTTTGGACGGAAACTATGTTCAATCTGAATTTTCTTTCAAATAAAAACATTATATTGATTCTGACTTTTCTACATCCAACTCACAGGTGTATCATTGTTTTGAGAAAAAAGATGATTAATTTAACCCTTTTAGAAGTGAAGTTATAGTAATTTGTTCTGGGAATGTCATTTCTCGAGCCTGAGACCTGAAAAACAGGCTCAGGGCTTAACAGGTTAAGGTAAGATGGCGCCTGCCCATTGTAGGCGAGAAGAATAATTTTCCCTTGATTCTTTTACCCCTCATCCGTTATTGGGGAAATGTAGCCCACTAACTAAATGTTCTTCTAACCTGTAGTTCAATTGTAACTGTAGTGGATTATTTGGAATGTTAAAGAGGCCCAGTTATGCTTTTTGGAGTTTCCCCTTTCTTGTAATGTGGTATATAATGTAGGTTTGTGTTCCCTCCAGAGGTCGTCTATATCTGCCCTCAGCATTAATGTCAAAGACAATTCAATGCTTTCTCTCTAACTGGATTCATGCTTAATTAAGATGCTAACTGGACATTAGCCTGAGACAAAATGTCATAGGCAAAACGGTGCTGTAGCACAGTTGTGCATATTATAAATACAGCCTTTGAACCCATTGAATTAAATGATGACATACAGAACTGAGGTTACATCCAGGTAACTTCTTCACTGCCCTGTCTTCAGGTGGTTTGTTAAAAAGGAGCCGATAACAGAGTCTTTCTTTATCGTTTCCATCTGCGTCAGACAACACAGGCAGCAGGTTCTCCCGCCGTAGATGTGCTGCGAGACATAACTATAACTCAAGCTTTACTCTCAGCTGACAGGTCAACTGCTTCACCTGAAACTGAGTTCAGTGTTCTGATGATCATGTTTTGGTTGCAGGGTTGTTCATAAACTAAGAAAGCTCGAGCTACTTCTTGGGGCTT